GGGGGGCGGCGGCAGCCGGAGGGTCCCCCCCACGGGGGGCTGGTTGGGGCCGGGGGTTCCTCTCTAGGGGCCGCTCCGCTCATCCTGCAGCTCGTACCTGTGCGGGGGGAGAGGTGAGGGGGCGGCACAGGGACACAGGGACACAGTCCTCCCCACCCCAGAGACCCCCCCGAGCCCTCCCCCCGTTCTGGCACAGCCCCTCAGCCCCACTCACCAGTGGGATCCCCCCTCGGACAGGTCCACCTGCGCCAGGTTCAGATGGAGCTGGGGGAGAGAAAAAGCTCAGGGGGCTCCCTGGACCCCCCCAGACCCGCCTGAAATCCCCCCCGGATCCCCCCGGACCCCCCCTACCTTCCCCAGCGCCTCCTTCTCGCGGGTCATGAAGGACAGGGTGGATTTGACGTGAGCTTCCAGACTCCGCCGTGACACTTCCTCCAGGGACAGGTCCCACTCGAACCTGGGGACACTGGGCTGTACTGGGCCGTACTGGGCCGTACTGGGTGGCACAGGACCCCCTCCACCCCCCGTACCTCTCGTTGAAGTCGGGGTTCAGGGTCCTCCTCTGCACGCTGGTTTTCCTCTTGGTGCCGCGGCTGCGGTCGGGGAGCAGCACCAGGGACACGTAGGGGTCCGGCAGCTCCTTCGCCACCGCCCGCAGCTCCCTGGGGGGGGTCAGGCCTCAGAGGGGGGTCCCAGCCCGGGGGTCCCAGCCCCGAGCCCCCCTCCCCAGGCTCACCTGCAGGCGTGGACGATGGCCACCAGCTTCCTCTCGTCCCGGTGGTACCAGAGCGTGAGCTGGACCCGGGGACCCTCCACCGGCTCCGGGGGGCTGCGGGGGCAGAGGGTCAGCACCCCCAAAGACCCCCCTCACAGGGGGGCCTCATGGACCCCCCTCCCTGGAATGTGGGGCTGGGGGCTCAATGCTCGGGGGGGTCTCGTGCCCCCCCCGTTCCCACCTGTCCTTGGGGGGCAGGCGCTGGCGCAGCCCCCCCGTCCCACACTCCCCCTCCTCCTCCTCCCCGCGCTCCTCCGCGGGCTGGGGGTCCGTGTCCCCCCCCTCCAGGGACCCCCCGGCCGCCGCCTCCACCTGCTGCGACACCAGGACCTGGGGGGCGAGAGGGGCAGTGAGGGGGGGTCTCACCTCACCCCCCCCCACCCGGGACCCCACTCACCCCCAGCTGTGCCCGCAGCAGGATCTGGGTGCCGGGGCCCCCCCCGGCCAGCGGGAACCATCCGTCCAGAGCCAGCCCCTCCGAGGCCAGGAGCTGGGGCAGGGGCAGGCTGAGGGTGCCCAGGGGCTGCCCCCCCTCCTCCTTCACCTGCGGGCACAGGTAGCTCAGGACCCCCCCGCGGGACCCCCGGGGGGCGGCGGGGACGGGACCCCCACCCCGGGGGGGGCAGAGACCTGGAGCTGCAGCGACTCCTCCTGCGGCCGCCTGATGAGGAAGGAGAAGCCTTCGTCCCATGTGGGCTCTGAGGACGGGGCGCAGGTCTGGGGGGACGAGAAGGGGTGAGAGACCCCCCCCGGTCCCCCCCAAACACCCCCCAGCCCCCCCCACTGCGTCCTACCTTGGTCTTGAAGGAGACGTTGCCCACGGCCAGGCTGGCGAAGGCGGAGGGGGCTTTGGAGCCCTTCCGGAGCTGGGGGGGCAGGACGGGGGTGATGGGGGCACTGTGGACATTTGGGGGCATCCTGGGGGGCCCAGGCCGAGGGGGGGGCACCCACTCACCGGCAGGTCAGCGGCTCGGTCCACGAAGACAGAGAGGAGAGCGGCCGAGAGCTCCTCGCCCCGGGCGGGCTGCAGGAGGCTGTTGGTGTGCAGGACCTGGGGGGCACGGGGGGGTGGGCTGGGGGTCCCACCGTGGCGTGGGGACCCCCAGGAGATCGGGAATGGGGATGGATGGGGAGGAGGATGGGGATGGGGGAGCAGAGGGGGGATGTCAGTGGGGACGGGGACACACAGGGTTGGGGATCGGGGTCCATGGGGACAAAGGTTGGGGTCCATGGGGACAAAGGTTGGGGTCCATG